TTTGCTTTGCTTCGGTGTCGATAAAAATCTGTTACGCGAAAGGGTAGGAGGAACATCAGTAAAATAAAATAAGTAGGCAATAATCAGGCAATACCTTTTACATATCTAAAATCTAACTAGTAGAGTATACAAATTAATATGGGTTTTGGGTTGTGGGAACAAATGATCAGGCAATATCTTTTACATATCTAATATCAAGCTTAGATATTAGGCTTCTTAGAAAACGGCAAACGGAAAAGTGTGAGCAATCTTATTCTTGACCTTAACACTTACAAGTACATATATTATTGAACTAATAGACGAGTGGTTTTTAATTAGCAGTATATGGCTCTGGAAGTTGTTCGGCCAGTCTTAAATAAAGAAATAAATAAGAAACTACACAAGTTACAATAGCTATGTAGATATGTATGTCTATCTATGTCTAGATTTGTTGTCTTGTCAATTAACAAAAATAAATAAATAAATATAAATAATAAACAAAAAAAGGGAAACTTTCAACCTCTTAACTCTTTTAATTAATTTCACTTAATAGTCAGCCTGGCAAGATCTTGATCTTTTAGTTGAAAGGAAGAAAGCTATAATTGTAGGGATTGCAACCAAATTCTACTTGTATAGCTTTTGAAAAGTGACACAAATGGAAGAGCAAACTATCGCCTAAATATCCAAATTCATTCTGATTTTATTTGGCTATTACTCACTATTTTCTTATCTTCGAAAATAACGTACTCCTTTTTTGAAGTCGGTTAATAAATGCCTTACTCTTCTCTTTCCAAATTCTAATTTGTTCCAATCTGTTCTCAAGTGGTTTTCCAAAACATGACCATTAACTAAGCTACCTTTAAGCGCTAGTCGTGGCCCTAACTTGTATGCATTTCGTGCTACGCGTCTGTCTGCTGCTGCACTAGATAGTATGCTAGGAATTTTGTGTATTTGAGATCCCTTCGCTATGTCTGTAAAATGTTATCTTTAGTGAACAATAATGTTCAGAAATGAATGAATAGGTAATCGATGAGGAAGATCTCTCTTTTGCCCTCCTTTGTTGAACCATGTTTTCAAAGAAGAAATAATTTAGTCTCTGCTTGATGTCCACCATTTACATGTTTTATGAATTTCTGAATTTTATGAATTCGCGAATCTTGTGAACAATCTGTATATACATAGAAGACTAAAGCTGACCTTGTTTAATAAAACCATTAAAATTAGTCACTCGACATTGAATCACATCATCGTTCATCATTTGCTCGGAGATAAGATTTCCAACTTTGTAGTTATTCTAGTATATGGTTCACGATCATAACCAAACCGCATGTGAAAATCACGCCATCAGGAAGAATACCTCATAAAATGTGTAGACTCAGTTCCCGCGATGGGTCGCTAAATAACACGTTTTAATTACTCTATTAAATTGTCAATGGCAATTACTAAAACATACACTTATCAGCAAAGACCAGCAGCAATAAAAAGTAAGCAGCATTCTAGTCGTCATAAAAGAACAATGCACTCGACATATGCATGGGCTATATACTATACTATATTTGCATTTACACCGAGAAAATATTTGTTGTTAATTGTTAATTATTACGAATATGTTGGCACAAATACTTAGCGCTTCTTAATTAGTTGGGCTTTGAGATTACCGCCCACTTCATAAGTTTCTTCAGTAAGAGAAATGTATTATAATTTAGCATGTATTTAGCAAATGGTAGTTTATTTCAAAATGTATAGAACTCTTAATAAATAAATGAAAGAAAGAGACGAGAGAGAAATCTATCAAGGACCGGTCAAAAACATTTCAAATATTTAAGGAAACAAAGAGATGATGGTGGAAAGTGTATCAAGGACACAACTAAATCAAATTATAAATATCCCAAAGAGAGTTCCAAAATGCTTTCTTTATAGCACGAATATCGGTGAGAAAGGCTATGTTTTTCTCCGTGTGTATACGTGAGATTGTAAGTATGTACGCCCACAATAAAACGGCAACGACCCACGACGGCGAGTGTCTCAAAAGAAGCCGCAAATATTTGGACTTTGGTGTTTAGGAATAAATACAAGTATTAACAAGCCAACACCAATACACACACACACACACACACACACATGCAATCGCCGCGACATGATAAGTGACAACGAAGTATTGAGGAACGCATTTCATTGCCGTCAATATTTGTATACGTACGAGTATTTGCAAAACGAGTGCAAAATTTTTGGCCTTGCTGCGAATGGAGATCATGAATCTATTAAACACAATTTATTTCCCATTAAATCTGCATGTGTCTATATGAGACGAAGCCATTAAAGTTTTCCTAATCTTATCAGATGGCTGCTATATAGCCAAAAGCATCAAACGTGCTTGTGGATGGTGTCATGGTCAATATTTAAACTCGTCTAATGTGAAGCACTCATGTAAGCTCTAATCTGCAAAATTTCACATTCAATTATAAACAAACAAGAAATTAGACTAGCTATACTACACATATATGAAGAATATAGTATAAATATGTGTTCAAAATTTGATTAAGTCGAAATTAACAAGTCGTGTGCTTCGCTTCCCTCTGCTTTTAATCAGCACTTCAAAGAACGGGGAAAACAATATAAATACATATATGTACTATATGTCTATAAGTATATGTGCATATTTGTATGTGTATGTGCGTATCAAGAAATGAACAACAAAGCCATGACGTAGTACCATTTACTATAGCAATTAAAATTGTATTTTGTTCTATAATATATCTTTATATACTACAACTAATGTACTTCTATTTTCATTTCCATTGGCTATTGTTTCGCTTGAGTCAAAGTTAAGTCAAAAACCGTCCAAAGTCCAACTAAGTGTTGTAAGTACTCGGATTTGATTGTAGTTGCAGGCAGCTCTACGCATGGTTCATGACTACTTGCTCATGAATTGGAGCAAAGTCTCTATGATAATAACTACGAGGGTAGTACCAACACAAAAACAATACAATTTCTATAGAAATATCTCTAACTCTCTACCTAATCTCCGATTGGCTTCCAATAGCAATGCTTTTCGAGATGATTACCAAATTTAATTCGTTAACTGTGTAAATGGTAACTTAACAATTCTATCTACAACCAAAAAATGTAATCCATCAGTTTCTATTAATTTTTCTCACCAATTAACCGTGAATATTCTCAATTCTAAATCATTATACATATAAAAGAATTACTTTGTGTTTTCATTACTAATACAATATTGAAGCAATTGAAAGCGGAATATTAGAACTACTATATATTCCCAGTAAAAATAAGATGATATACGAATTGTCAGAACCAATCCAAATCAAAAATGAAAGCTCAATTTTTTTCTGATAATGTTTAATATTTCAGCAACAAATGGAATCGCAATATAATGATATTTTTCGCAGGCGCCTTTTATTTACAGTTTTTCTGCTTAGTGCTAAGTTTTTCTTTAATTTCACCTTTTTTGGTTATAACTTGAACCTTGAAGAGATGATCTTTTTATTTACTTTTGAGACCTTTTGTGCACAACAATTATACACTTGTTATTCCACCAGTTATGATCGTTTATTTATTGTTTTTATTAAGGTTTTTTAATTCGAACCACATGTCAATGAAAACATCACAACAATTTATCACGACTGGAAATGGTGTGCTTATATAATTAGGCTAGTTCACATATAATTTACTCAAGCTATACGAGTATATAGAATTTGTAAAAGCATAAATTTACTTATAATTACAAACCACATTTTATTGATAGCTTTACCTAGAGAAATTAAAGTCGATTAAGTATTTATATAAATGAATCGCAATTCCTAACGATTGCATTCTTAACAACTTTATAGCAAATTACTAAATCGTGAGCTTATATAATTAAATATGTATCTATGTTTATCTTAACCAGTTAAGACTACTCATGTTGTTCATGATTTACATATATGGAAAATGAATAAAATATTTAACAAACACAACAACCATAAACCAAAGTAGAAATTCTTATTTAAAGAGGTATTTCAGTTCAAAGAAAATAAAAACATAGTTTTTAAACTTTCCGGCGTTAAAATAGTAGACGAATGCAAAACACAACCACTAAAGGAAAACTATAAACCTTGTAATATAAAGAGCCATTCATATCTGCAGCAAACAAAATCGAAAGCTGCATCACAGTCCACATAACACATTCTCCAGCCTTTCTAGTTATATTTCTATTTCAGAAGTCATTAAATTGATAGCTTTATCTACAGAAAATAAAAGCAGCTATATAGTACCATAGTTCACATCATACGGGGAATATCATTCTCCAGCTTTAGAAATAATTGCTTATGATTCATAAAGAGAGTACAGAGAACAAGAAACAAAAACAACTCTTGCATTGTAAGCTCAAACGATAAAGCGTTGCATAGAGCGTGCCATTGTCTTTTTCTTCGTTTTTTTTAACGATGCGGCAACAAATAAAAGCTAAATAAAACAACAACAGCAACAGAGCAATAAACAATTTTTTATAACCTTTTACGTATGGCGACGTATCGGGGGGGCGGACTCAAAGAAATCCGATGTGTGGACTTGGAACAGAGGCAGGTTGTCAAGCGAGCGGGTTACCAAAAAATGTTGATCAGCTGAGCCGCCACAGGTGAGAATATGGAGTATTCGCTCTCTTTGTGTGTGTGAGAGAGAGTGTGTGCGCGCTGCTTATCAATGAAGGAAAACTACAATATAATAACACGCGAAATACATAACTAATCAATGCGAAAAATATGCTAACAAAAAACTAAACGAAGCGCTTTTGCGTCCGAACGGACTTCGTGTCTATTGTCGGCTTTCTGATAAAGCTTAACGTGTGCACACACACACACACACACACACTCACATATACACATCTACACCCGCTCCAGCTGAGACACTCGATTAAGAATGTATTTGTGTTGCCGATCAAGTCGTCAGCTGGCCGGCTGGCTCCACTGGAATTCTGAGGGAAATCGCTGGCTGGGATCAGTCGCGTTTGGCGAGCGTCACCTCAAGACGTCTGTTTGATTCGTTTGGCCGCGCAAAACCCTCAACTCAACAGTTATTTCGATTTTAGCGACATTTCTCTATATTTGCAGTCTTTGTGTGTCTTTCTACAAAGGTGTTAACTTTACATTCGATACGAAACGGGTAAGGTTTGCTGTCTCGAAACGGATAATTTAGAACCACACACATAATCACGCCTAATTAGTGCACGAAGTAAGCTACTTAAAAATTTAAATACGTTCCACTGACTGTTAAGTGTAAAAGAAATATAGTAAGTGCACACAAAGCTGAATCAAGAGTGTCCAGAGAAATGCCTAAACTGAATATGCATAATAATGCTATAAACATATAACAAACAAATTTTAACAAGATAGAACGCTACAGTCGAGCAAGCCCGACAGTAAAATAGCCTGTACTCTCCACAAAAAAAGAAAAATTAAAAAAAAAAAAATTAAAAAAAAAAATTAAATTATTAAAAAAAAATTAATGAATTAATTAATTAAATTAAATTAGAATATATGTTTATGTTTAGTTTTAACAGCATACATTTACATCACGTACCTATGCGTGTTTATATGCGTGTATGTATGCAGCACAAAGTTGAACCAAAGCAGCAACAACAACAACAGCTGCGGGCAGCGCTGCCGACAGAGGCAGCGCATGAGCAGCGATTTTACTTATGGCTATAACTTTCTTCAGAATTGACCTATCATGATGAAATTTGGCACACGGACACATTAGTACTAACTGGATGTACCTACCAAAATTGATTTCAAAATTCCGAGAATTACGGAAGTTATAAGAAAAAACACGAATTGCGGGGGAGTGGGGGGGTGCATCGAAAAAAAACTCAAACTCGTACTTTCTCGGTCTTAGGAGAATATGGAAACCAAGTTTGGTTATTCCAGCTCTTATACTTTCTGAGATCCTTGCGTTCATACGGACAGACGGACAGACAGACGGACAGACAGACGGACAGACGGACAGACGGACGGACGGACAAGGCTATATCGACTCGGCTTCTCATCCTGATCAAGAATATATATACTTTGTGGGGTCTGCCACGCCTCCTTCTGTGTGTTACATACATGCGCACAAAACTAGTATAGCCTTTCACCCTTTGGGTACAGGCTATAAAAATAATTTTAAAGAAAATAAAAAAAAAGTTTACCTAACGTGAATTTAAATTAAATATTGATATATATAAAATAAATCATAATTGTGAAAGAAAGTATAATAACAGACAACAATGATAATTTTATCATGAAATAATCATCAGTAATAAAAATAAAAACTGTGAACAAAAATTTTCAAATAAAAGAATGCAATTATAAATTATATGAAAAGCATAATTTTTCAAAATTTAAAAAGGAATTGCAAATTGTTAGTTTAGCTAAAATTCTAAATAAATATGAAGACATTAAAGAAAAAATAAAATTAGAGCAAATACTAAAAATGTTATTCAAAAAATTTCTAATATCCAACATTCTATACTGGCATTTAGAATTTTCATTTCCGTTTAATTATAATAAATATTTCGATTATATAAAGTTTACAAATCGACTCGGCAATTATTTATTAATTGTATAATAATATATTTATTATAATAATGGGTTTTACATGATATGACTAATTTAATAAAAAGGAAAGAAGTCGGTTGGAGATTGACCAATTTTTGTTATGATTTTCAAAGCTAATTCGTTTCTAAAACCGAAAAGATTAACATATGTTTTCATCTTTCTCTATTCATTTAAGCTTTCTATAGATTTCATTTAAATGGCTTATCTTGAATAAAATAAGAATATCTTAAAAGTGAATTATAAAAGTTAAAAGAAAAACCCCAAGAAAAAAGTAGAAAACAGCAAATGCAGTTTATTTTGTATTCTTTCTTTAAGTAAAAAATTCAATTTCAATTGGAATTCACATTTTCCACAGTAACTTCTTTGTATTCACGTACACTGTGAAAGGAAAATTGTACTCAAATTTCAGCTTCCTTGATCACCAATAAGTGATTGACTGATTGAGCGACTCAGTCACTTAAAATAAATGGTTTTATAAACAAGTTGTAAAACTATTTTTTAATTATCAAAAGTGTGTTGCAATGTTGATAGAAATGAGCGAAATAATCAGCCAAGGGTGCCAATTCTTTTGCGATGCACAAATCGCAAGGTATAGCTTAATCCAATGTCTGATTGTGTATTGGAAATATCAATTTGTCTTAAAAAATGAAAATAGACTATGCGGATCAACAAAGTTATGAAAAAAAAATACGAATTTAAATCGCTTTGGTTGATTTGAAATGAATTATAGCCCTTGGCCCTTATGTATAAGTAAAAGTCTATTAAGGGAAAGTTAATTTAAAGCAGAACTATGACTAAAAGCATAAAAAACTATTATTATTATACTATTATAATTTCATAATTCATATAACTTTTTTCAGTTTGTTAAACTCTTTTCCAATTTGTTTGAGATTTTATCACTACATATTGTCGAATATATTGACAACTAAACAGTCATTTTAGCAAAAGTTTTATTCAAATTTCCAACGCAAGCAGTTTGCAATGAAAAGAAGAAGAAGAAAAAAAAAACGGCGCAACACTATACTAGAGTTAGCAATCAAAAAATGACCGTAGTATGCAGTTTATATATTTGAATTTTGAACCCAACGGGGACTGTTGCTGGGACGGGGTCGAATCAGCTATTATGATTCAATATTGACAATATATGTACTGTACTATATACGACTATATGCGAGCATTGCGAACATATTGCAGCTGCACAGTCGGGCTAAAAAATGTGCGCAGTTTGCTTTTTGGATTTGCAATCGCTACGATTAAGTCATTCGATTATGCTTCAAATAATGGTTAATAAGCGTTATCTACGTAGATTTCACAAGATTACAAGACTCTGTAGGTTAACATTGTAAGGCTTATTTATGGCCTTTGTTGACCAGCTGCCGTTTCTGCTCTCTGTTCCATTTCTGTTTACTTCATCAGCCTACGACGCAGGCGCAGCCGCAGCCGCAGAAACAGTCTCTGATTCTTCTGCTCTACAGCTGCAACCTTTGTTTAGTTGTTGTTGTTGTTATTGTTTTATGTGGAACCGGTTTAAGAGCCAAGTGCGGAGTAGAGAAAAAGATTAATGTATATGCTGTGTTTATAATGATTTCAGCATGCAATATTATGTTTGGGGAAGAGAGAAAAACCCTGAAGTGTGTAATTACGAAGCAGAGTAATTATGCGTGCGGCTATGTTGGGCAGAAACTGAACAAATTTGAGTGGAAATTCAAGCTCATTAAGTACCAAAATTTCAGGTCTTATAAGTAAACAGAAAGCCAGACTAGCAAGATCAAGACCCGAGCGCGCTAAACAAGGAAAATCAGCTTGTCTGGCAAAATGTGCAAATCGTTTCAGCCGTGAAACAATAAATAACGAAACTATAAAAAAAAAAACACGTCATGCCCAACACGGGCCCTACAAAGCTCACCAAATAGGGCTAATCTATCACTAGTCCCAGCTCAGCACCGATCTAGAGTGCATTGACACCAACAACAGCGGCTCTGATTGAAATGTTTATATTTTTTGTTTGACAGCCCACAAGATTCAAGTGCAAGGCTCATTAGTTTGAGAGGGTAGTGGGGGGAGGGAGGGGGGGGATTACAAATAAGGTAAATGGCCCTTCAACACGTTGAAGTGTGGGCTCATTCAGTTTGAAATCAATTTAGTTTAGTTACGAGTACGGTTCGCACTTGTTTTTGTGCTACTTTCCGAGATAAGACTTACAGCATCCAGCAGTCAGCTGCTCTGAGCTGAATATGACGCACTGTGCGGCACTGTGGTATTTGAACCCATTATTTCGAACCCATTATTCCCTTGAAAGCCATCTGCAACAGTTTAAGAGCATTGGAACACAATTTCCATGATTTACATTGTTTTCCATTACAACAAATGTAAGCGAATTTTCCATATCAATACGAATAAGCAGATCGCTTCTAAAATATAACTGTGCTTCCAACATAATAAAACAGGAGATATAACTATTCCCTTTAAATCGATAATTCCGACAATAATTTAAATAAATAGTAGTTTATGGAAGCACATAGAAAAATGTATAGAGCGTATTGAGATTATTTTCTTTCAAAAATATTTTGAATTTACAAATATTAACTAGCTTTTATAATAAACTAGTTAATTAGTTGTTAGTTTCTAAAAAGTTCTTCATTTATTAACTAATACAAACGGAACAAATAATGTATGTATTAATCATTGTTTAAAGATAGAAAGAGAGAGAGAGAGAGAGAGAGAGAGAGAAAGATAGTCTTCAATATATTAAATTTAAATACATACTAAGAAATTGCAAGTTTTGCCATCAATTAATGCTTTCTGTTCCATAGTACGGCAATCAGTCAACTGCGACAATTTCGCTGCCTTCGTCACAGGCACAGGCGATCGCATTTATTGTTAATATGTAAATACTCGCATGCACATAATCAATTTCTTTTATACATACTTAAGTACATACATATGTACTATTATATACATATGTAGGAATGCTTTGTTTTGATTAATTGTATTGTGTGCATATAAATTCTATATTTTTGTTGGTACTTACAATATACTTAATTGTGCTCGCTCACTTTTCTGTACCTTGATCTTTTCAATACATGTGCGACATATTGGCATTATGTATTATTTATTTTCTTATATGGCTTTTGTAACAGCCGAAGTGTGCTTAAGAAGAACGGAAATGGGCGGTAAATTGCGCGATACTTTTGCGCGGGAATTGGGTTTGTTCATAATGAGATAATATTAAAAATTGGTGTCTAAAATGTTGTGGTAGACAGATCAGTCGATTGATATGCCAGGCAAACCTTTTCGTTTCAGTCTTTAGCTGTCAGCCTAGCAAAACGATGACAGCTTACTTGTGTATACATATGTGGTTAACCGCAATCATCACAGACTGTTTTCAAAACATAGAGCAACGTAAAAGGGCACTATGAGTAGTACATTCTATAGAACTGAGAATGTCTACACGACGGTGCTCTACGTTTAAATATGCTCATTGAAGGGATTCTCAAGCGTACTCTCTTGGTTTTTGCAATTAGCATTGTTAACACATTCAAACAATCCAAGTATTTATATCATCTGAAAATAATAGTTTCGATTGCTGATCTGTTTAGCTTTAGCTTTGTGAATTTAATTCAGAAGGTTTGAAGATTACCCAAATCATCATTTATAATCATTATCATATTTGGCATCATTAATAAACCATTTAACACTTGCAGATCTGTTAAAACTACCTGCACGTCATCTTAATAAATGATTTTTGATAAGCCCTTATCGGCTGATGAAAGCTGAAGCTAAATTCGGAAATTCAATGCATTCATTAATTTACTACTACATATAAGTTTGGAAAAATAAAAGGTTTTTGTTTTTTTTTATTACAAATCGTTTTGTTATTATGCTTAATTTGACCCATTAACCCATTATCTTACATTTATTTCATTTACACTTCTTTATTCTAAAATCTGACTAAATTATTTAATGTGTCTCAAAATACAATGTGAGTATTGTGTGTGTATGATTTGCACATTCAAATAGACTTTAGAAAAACCTTTGTTAAAAGTGTCAACTTTTCTAATTAAAAGAAATTATCTCGACCTTTATTGGCTTACAACTATTATGTACTGCCCTATATTTTAAAATATTTATAATTTTTGTGGTTAAAACTTTAAATTGGAAAAACATTTAAGCTTTAATAAACTAGAAGGGATTCATAAGAATACTGGTATTACATTTAATTTTATTGAATTAAAAAGAAGCTTTAATTTAAATGTTTACTTTTTAATAAACTCTCAATTATCTCACTTGGTTGTACTGTCAAGCATTATTACATTATACTCGTATTATATATAATAAATTATCTATATAGATAACAATTATTAAGTGTTCTATAATTCAAAACTACGATAAATAAGTTTTTCCAACATACTTGTATTTTACGTGCAGAAAACGTATACTTAATGTGTAAGTCCTTTTATAAAACCGTATGTTGGTTAGCTACACATCTTATTAAGTAATTTTAAAAAGGTTTGGCAAAAAGCGAGTCTATTTCGGTTAGTTGGCTAGAATTCTAAATTCTACAATACATAGCTATCTCTATATATTATTTATCTATACATATATGCAAAGGCATAAAGAAGTGGGGACAGATATGTACATGTTCATTTGAAAGCCCAAAATTTGATTTATTGGTTGCTAATTATTCGTAAATAAAAGTTTTAATAATGAATTTACTTCTTATAGTCAGCTGTTAGGTAAAAAATATGTTAAACAGCGGGTATTTATGCTTGAAAGTTAATAAATAACATCACATTTGGTTAACATTGCATTGGCTTAACATCGCATTTACTTAACAGCGCATAGGCTTAACAGCACATTGGCTAACAGCGCATTGGGTTAACAGCGCATTGGATTGACAGTGCATTGGTTATGTGGTTCGATTTATTTTTATTAGTTTATGGAAAAATAATATTTTGCGTTACACAAATTGAATTGACGTCATTTGGAATTGGAACTTGCGTAAATAAATATGTCACATGGGAAACAAATAAAGTAAAAATACATTTAATGCATTGAGACCAGCCCTTTTTTATAGCAACGAACTAATTAGTGGCAGCGATCGGATAGGAATAGAGGGTACTTAGCTTAATGGGAAGAGTACAAAGTGCTGCTCTTAATTAGTCATAAACAAATCCGAATGAAAGCTCAAAGTGCAATGGCACTGCAGCGAACGTGCAAATACATTTATTTCTAAGAGTCAGGGAATGCAACAACAAAATTGAGATTGCAACAACATGATGTGGCCAAAATGCCAAATGTGGCACAACACACACATAGATGCAACAAGAAACATGAAGCGTGACTAGCGTTACATAATCCAAAAATCAATCAAGCATTACAAGAGACATACCTGTTGCATTATTTACTTTACAGTTGGTCGAAAAAAAAAAGGAGAAAAATATGCCAACAGCCCGAGAGCAGTTTTTCTATGGCGGTGGCGACACAGTCTCCGCCATTGGCTTGGGCATAGGGATTAGCGAGGACAGTGCCACAAGTCCAAGTCGCGTCTACAATAGCACTACTGTGCCGGTGTCTACGACAAATACCAGCAGTTGGCGAAACGGAACCACAACAGTGGCCACCAATGGAACTCAGACTAAGCACGGACAGACCCAAACCACACCGCTGGCACCACTGGCACCACTGCCTGAGTTGGAGGAGGAGAAGGTGCCCTACGATGGTGACACAATGTCCAATTTGCCGCCACGCGAGCCTGTCGACATTGAGTTCAAAGAGTTGTCGCTAACAGTCAGTTTGGGCTTCAAGCGTGGTGAGTACATAGATATACCAAAGATGTACTATATAGTCATATATAACTTTGATAAGATTGTTGGAAATGTTTATTGGCAGCTGCGGCAATGGTTTATTAAAGAAAACTAAGCAATATATACACCGGCTGACCAGTCCATGAGCCTCTAATATATCCAAAATTATGGCCACTTAACAAGCCAGTCTCATTCAAGGTTCTTCCAATTCTTCAAACACGCTGCCATTTCTTGCTGTTTCTGCTAAATTGGCCGCTGATTAGATAACACGCCCAACCACTGCCACCATTGCCACTGCCAATCAAACAATTAGTCATTGCGATAGCCAAGTCAGCAATGTTCACTAATTTTTTTGTTAACAATATTCACTTCAAAGTTCAAGTAAGATATCGACTTGCCAGCGCCATTGGTAACACGATTAGGGCCATAACAACGATAGCGATTCAAGTCTGTCATTAATTTCTGTTTCATTCGAACATAGTTAACCTTTCGACCCAAGTAGTTACGTCTTGATGGGGTTTAACATTCTTTATATAATTTAAGGGGCTAATAGCCGAGTAAACTTTTTGAGACAAATAAAGATTTATAAATAGCCTTTCTGTTTCTGGGAAATAACACCATTAATTACGAAAACATTAATTTTTTCAAGTATTATGTTTGACTAAGTGGGGGGCAAGGAGATTTTGGGGGATATTTTACTTAACACGATAATAAAAGCAATGAAAATAAAATAATTAATATTTCATTCACAATTACTTAACCTTTCTAGCCAAGTAATTACACCTTAAAGGGGTTCCACAATTCTATATAACATTTTAAAGGCCAACAACCGAGGAACCTTTTCTCCATTCCATTTATAGGTAGCTTTCTTTTTGGGAGTACCCGCGTTTATGGACTAAACATTAAGTATATTATGTTCCTTTATATCTAAGTGGGAGCACAATTCCTTCTATTGGGCATACACTTATATGAGAACAATAAATAATAAATACATACTATATGTTGATTTTACCCTGCCGAGGTAACAGGAAAATAGTGTATATTTTACATAAACTAGATGCTTTTAAATTTATTTAGATACTACTTCAGATACTATACTTATATTCCATCAAAAGTGTTTAGAAAGATAGCGCGCTCGTTTTATTTTATGAAACGTTATGAAACAATTGGGTGTCGGACAAGTAAACTGAATAGTGGCACATGTTGATAGCCCCTCTAAACGTGCCTAATAATGTGCCGATATCTTACAAGAAACTGATAAACACTTACCTGTAGTAAATTCCAAGTCTTTTGTTGAATTGTGGTAGCATTACGTAAATTAATTGATTGTATTTGTTTTTCCTTTAGGCTCTAAAGAGATTCTACACAATGTTTCTGGCAAATTTCCGGGCAGCCAGCTTATTGCGATTATGGGACCATCGGGTGCGGGCAAATCCACATTATTGGATGCGCTGTCGGGCTTTAAGACCACCGGTGTAGACGGTTCCATATTGTGTAATGGTCGCAGACGAGATTTACGTGAGTTGTTTAGTTTAAAGGAGGGAGAGAGAGCGACTCATTTCAGAAGTAATTTCCTCCAACAGCTGCCTTCCGACGCATGTCCTGCTATATAACACAGGATGATCGCCTACAGCCCCTGCTGACAGTCAGTGAGAATATGCATATAGCAGCCGATCTAAAATTGGGTGAAAAAGTGAGCTATGAGGAAAAGGAGAGCAGGGTGAGTGATGAAGCTAATTGATACTCTAGGGATACTATAAGTTTTTATAATTTTTATATGGATTTGTCTCTTTGTAATAGATTGAAAACATTTTGGTGCTATTGGGGCTGTATAATCACGATCAGACGTTGACAATGCGGCTATCCGGGGGTCAAAAGAAGAGGCTATCCATTGCCATGGAACTGATAAATAATCCCACTGTGATGTTTCTCGATGAGCCCACAACGTAAGATAAAAGATATTGTTTTATTCCAACGGATGTCTAATCTCTATAATCTCTACTCCATGAAGTGGTTTGGACAGCAGTTCCTGCACCAAAGTGCTCGAGTTGCTCAAAACGCTGACAAGCCAGGGACGTACCGTCATCTGCACCATCCATCAGCCCACGGCCAAGCTATTCCAAATCTTCGATCAGGTATATGTGCTCTCCGCCGGCAACTGTGTCTACCAGGGTAGCACCCAAAAGCTGGTTCCGTTTCTGCAGACCGTCGATCTACCCTGCCCCATGTACCACAATCCAGCGGATTATAGTAAGCCGACACGAGCAGCTTTAAAACTGATCTTTTAAGCAAATTTCCTTCGTAGTCATTGAACTGGCCTGCGGGGAATATGGCTTCGATAAGATCGACACTCTGAAGAGTGCCACCGAGAATGGCAGCTGTCTGACGTGGTTTGACAATCCCGGCTCGCTGCTGCGCGCCGAGCAGCTTATGCGCAAGCATCCCATTCCGAAGCACAACAAGAATCGTTCCCTGGAGAACACCGGCTATGCTAACCAGTGCTCGGTGCTGTTGCGACGGGGCTACATAAAGTCCAGGCGAGACACCACCATGACCCATCTCCGTATTGTGGTGAACATCGCTGTTGCCATACTCTTTGGTGCCATGTACGATCGCGCGGGACGAGAGGGTTCGCGTGTCCTCGACAATTATAACCTACTCTTTGCCATATTGATGCATCATTCCATGACGACCATGATGTTGACTGTCCTCACATGTGAGTAACGATTACGACAAATTTATTTATATGTATTTCGGGGCGAGTTAATTCTAGGTTTTAAGTCATAAATTCTACGTATTAACATTTCGAATGGGTTTTGGATTGGTCAATAGTTATGGCCATTACTACTAAATTTTATTACTTACTTGTTTCTTTAATATTTGGCTTCTCTTTCAAGTTCCCATTGAGATGTCCATTTTGATCAAGGAACACTTCAATCGCTGGTACTCTATGAAGGCCTACTACACAGCCATGACTATTGTGGATCTGCCCGTCTCGGTAAGCTGATCTGTGACAAATCCGTTCACTGAATTCTTAACTTATTATGCGGCTTCCTTCACAGATAATCAGCTGCTTTATCTTTACTGTGATCATATATTGTTGGAGCTATCAGCCCATGGAGTGGGTGCGCTTTTGGATGTTCTTCGCAATTAGTTTGTTGACGGTATTTGTGGGACAAAGCATTGGCCTGATGATCGGAGCCTGGTTTGATGTGGTGAATGGCACCTTCCTGGCGCCGGTGCTCACAATTCCAATGATGATGTTCGCCGGCTTCGGTGTCACATTGCGCGACCTGCCCAGCTACTTAAAGTGGGGAAGCCATATATCCCATTTGCGGTATGGCCTGGAGGGTTTCATAGGCGCCATTTACGGTCTGGATCGTGGCATTTTAGAGTGCAACGAAGCGCCATATTGTCACTACAGGTACTGAGGCCTATCTATATGTATAGCTGGAGGACTTATAGTTAATTGACATGATTTTTTGTACGCTTGCAGATATCCGAAAAAGTTTCTGGAGGAGATTACCATGTCCGGTGATCAATTCTGGAACGATGTGATAGCACTTAGCGCCATGACTATTATCTTTAGAGCTGTTTCCTACATAGTGCTCAAGGCCAAGATCAAATCGGTTAGATGAGTTTAGTTATAATTATTTAAAGTATAATAACCAAACACATTGCCTTGTATTATGTATAATTGTCGAAAATTAACTATGTTTAGTACTATTATTTAAATCATAAAGTATCACAGGTTTAATTGCTTAGCCGCCTGTTCTTCCTCCTTATCTACCGGACTCCCCTTTATGTTTTCCTGCATCAGTTGCTGCAATATTGTCGCATTGGAGGCCATATCGGCAGAGTTGAGCTAAAAAAAAATGATGCAAAACAGATTCGCTTTATAATTTATTTATGGTTTAATTTCAGTTGTGGTTAAAAAGCATAACTATAGAAAGGCAACGGATATAGAAGATTCTTTAACTTCCTAACATTTCTTTGGATTACTGACTATGAATAGTCTTACTTACCACAACAACCTTTTGGCCCAAAGCCTCCAGTAGGCGACGTTTTAAGCGCACCAGAGCTGTGGGTTTTTTGCTGAATTTCAACAACTGTTGTGGCGTCAACAACTCAACGTAGTATGTTTCCTCCTCCTTGCGTACCCGAATACTTGGCAGGTTAATACCATGGATGGGACACACGAGATCCACAGCTTTAACATCAGCTGCGGTGGCCAGTTCCTTAGAATAATCTACCAAGTCGCCGCGTTCCTTAAGCAGATAGTCAGGAGTACGTGTCGACTCCTTGAAGACCTGTTTTGTGCTCAAGTCTGACCATGTGGGTTGCTCTATAGCCACGGCTGAATTAAGAACTGTCAAGCGACTGTCCACCTTGGGTTGTGCGTTCTGCCGGCGTTGCGCTTGCGTGGCTTTCAGCTCCTCAGCGGCGTCTATAAGGCGCTTGGAGTAGTGACCCAGCTTGCATAGCGAGAGACAGGTGTCGACTAGATTATCCGGAAAGTAATCGTATTCACCCAGATCCAATTTGCGCAGTGCAGCCACCTCTAATTGCTTTAGCTGCAAAGCAGTTAGCTGGCAGTTCAATTCGGCGCAGGACCAGAGAAGTGTGGCCAGATCTTTGGCACGCAAGTCCCCGGGCTTGAGAGCTAAGAGACGCTCCACAATGGTGCTCAGGCAATCGGCGTGGTCCCACAGCTGCTCAGCAAAGTACGCGGAAATGTGTGCAATGCCACGCGGCTCAAATTGCCGTATATGTGTAGGCTCTAAGCAAATAGAGGTCAGATGCTGGCAAATCCTTTCATCAGACACGCGCTGAAGACGCATCGATTTCACAAATGACACTAATAGAGCATCATTGCCAGCGGTCAGCGGCAACTGCAAAACGGCATCAATCAGAGCCTGCTCGTACGGTGCACGTGCATCTCCGGTGATGACTGTGGACGTTTTGTAGGCAGCATTGCTGACCAACGCCAAGTCCAGGGGACTGAAGCTGCTCAGATGCTGTAGCAGGTGTGTGGTGAGCAGCTGCTCTAAATATGTGGGCGCTTTCTTGTTGTTAAATTGTTTCTTCTGCAGTCCGAAAAAGAAGCAGAGCTGCACAAAACGCTCCTTACCGCCGACAGAGGAAGGATCCACAAAATCCTTTTCAGCCAACCGGCGCAGGGCAGCATGATAAAAATCCAAGCGTTTCAGCCAGTTGGGCATGAGGAAAACGAATGCGTAAAGCGTCTCCAGCACAGTGGCAGTATCCATGTTAGGCAGTTGTTGCACAGCGTGGGCATCCAGCGCGTTCAACACCATGGCATACTTGGGTGGCGCCGCATTGGAGCGGTAGGTGGAAGTGTGTATTATGAGTGCAGGAACCTGTTCCGCTGGCGTGCCGCTGACGGAACGCTGAAAATAGCGATCATCCGACACAGGAAAGTAATCGACATAACGTATTTTTGTAGGCGCCAGCACGTGCTCCGCAATATTATAGCGTTCTACTGCAATGTGTTTGGCAAAGCGGGTAAACAAGGTGCCGGTTTCGTCAGCCGTCTCCCGCACAACGTCCCTCAACGTAAAAGATGCATAACGTTGACTTGGAATGGTTGCGCTGGCAAAGCGGCGCAGCAGAGCGTACATGTCGTTTTAATTAAAAAATGTTCACCTGGCAAAATTACAAATTTATGTAATAACAATTTGGAAGAGAAACGTGCTTATAGCAGACGTTACTGTTGGTACTATCGATTAGTTCTCCAGTACTGTAAAGCGCAATCAGTTGGTCATCAGCTGTTGTGAGTAGAAGATGGGTAAGCGGGCGGCTGGATTTGTGCTGTTTCGCAGATTGTGTGGCGAAATCGAGTATTTGCTGCTGAAAGCATCATACGGTGACTTCCATTGGAGCTCGCCTAAGGGACACGTGGATCCCGGCGAGGATGACTTCACTACAGCGCTGCGCGAGACCAAAGAAGAAGCCGGGCAAGTGCTCAACAATTCTATTAGCAGTGCATAAAGTCAATGCGTACTCTCTTTTAATTATGTTTAGCTATGACGAAAAGGATCTGATTATATACCGTGACAACCCGCTGACGCTGAATTATGTCGTTAAGGGCAAGCCGAAGATCGTAATTTATTGGCTAGCAGAATTACGGAACCCCAACCAAGCACCCGTGCTTTCCGACGAGCACACAGACTTCAAGTGGCTGGCCAAGGAGGCAGCCAAGCAGTGTGTGGGCTTCAAGGACAATCAGGATATGATTGAAAGTTTCCATTCCATTATTTTGAAAATGGATAAAACATAAGCAAACATGTTATCGATTAAAAGACATCAAAAATACAAAAAATATATATATCAGTGCTGTGCAGGTCATTAACGACTTCCGCAATTCGCACACTATACAACACTGTTTTCTAGGCATCTGCAAAAATTGTAACATTTTATAGATTAGTTGTGAGCGTAGGAACAAAAATACAAAAGCCAATAAAGTAGCAAGTTTACAAAACCAGATCAGAATGGGTTCACGTTCACGAAGTCCTTCAGTAAAGCGTCGGCATCATAAAAGCAAACACAAGAAGCGCAGTAAATCGCACAATCGCGACCACGAGCGTAGCAGCACAACGCGCAGCAGTCGCAGTCGGGCGGAAAGAGATAACTCGCCTAGTCTGTCATCAATCCCACATCCTTATCCACATGGTCAGCGCCACGAGCGCGACAGGCACAGGCATCGCGGTGGCGACCGACACACAGAACGCGACTATCATTCAAAGTCACGTAAACGCTCCAGCTCAACGGCCTCCAGCAGTGATAGCCAATATTCTGACCATGAATCACAGCGCAGCAGACACAAGCGCAGTCGCTACAAGAAGCTGGATGAAGTGAGTTTCGAGAGCATGAATTATATGCAGTAGCACCAGTTTTAAAACCTATTGTTTTTTCTTAGCAAAATCTACTGCAAGTGGAAAGACTGGCGGAAATGGAGAGACAGCGTCGGCAAAAGGAAGCCGAACAGAAAACAATTGAAGAGGAGGCTGCCAAACGCATTGAAATGCTTGTGAAAAGACGCGTCGAGGAGGAGCTGGAGAAGCGGCGCGATGAAATCGAACAGGAGGTGAATCGACGCGTTGAAACGGCCAAGGCCGAAATGGAGCGCGAAATGATGCTGGAGCTGGAGCGACGGCGCGAGCAGATACGCGAAGAAGAACGCCGACGTGAGGTAGGTGCTCGTATTCAGATTTCGCTGGACGACTGCTGCTACCACTCTACTACCAAAATTACCGCAATTATCACAAAAATACAGCCACACGTACACAGACAGAACACCAAACAATCAACAAACTACAAACAGAAACAGAAAACAGCAGTTGCAAACAGTCGTCTTGACCAATGCTACCAGAAAAGGGTGGCGATTCAGTGCAGCGGCAATGGCAGCGGCAGCCAAATGGTTCCATGTGTGTGTGTGTGATTGTGTGTGCACACCATAAGCATTGTGATGGTCTAACAACAAACCACATCTACACACCCACGCACTCACACACTCACTTCCTAACAACTTTTCAGCTCAACCAAACACCGTCAACTCATACACAATCTTTGACACACACCCACACACACTCTCGAGCAGGTGTCGCTGCCTGGCGCTGTCTTCTCGTCACTCGTTTCGTCCTACTTTCTTGCCAATAATTTTGTAATTTTTATTTTCCCAACCGAAAGAAAAACAAAAACAAAAAAAAAAACTATAAAGCCAGTGAGACAGGCCAAGACCCAAAGCGGCTCTGCCAAATGTCCATATATCATACAGTTTTTAGCGCATAAATATATATTTTGCATAATACTACTATTTTTTAGCAACAACTTTTTGTTCGTACATCCTCTTTTGTTTATATTTCTTAATTGTCGTTGTTACCTTTGCGCTTCTGTAGAACGTAACGTAACGAGCGCGCGTGTGTGTATGTGTGTGTGTGCGCGCGACAAACAACACTGAACAAAACAAAAATCAAATCGAACACTAAGAAGGTATGCATGTAACACCCAACACCTTGACCAGGCCAGGTCAGGTAGAGGCCAGGCCGGATACACAAAGCCGATGAACTGTGGGCTCAAAGGATGGAAATCCAAGTCGAAATCAAAATCGAAGACGAAATGCAATCGCACAGCTGGGTTGTGTGTGTGTAGATCGTTAGCCAGTTACATATAATTACATGCACATACATACATAACCATCCATAGTGTCATATAACCCAAGTGCTAGTTGGGCGGGTCGAAAATTTGGGCCTAGAACGGCCTATCCAATCCAAAATCTAAGTAAGCAAATCAACGGGTGAGTTTCTAAAGCAGCAGCAGCATCAATAAAATGTGAAAATCGACCGGAAATCGGAAGTGAAAGTGTATGATAAGCGCTGTCTATATCTCTAGAATCTAAACAAGCGAATAACATGTAGTTTATAAGCCATTTATGTATATAAATAGATATATACCATACACCTCTACCACCTACACTTCTGCCTTAAATCTAATGGGCATGACTTTGTATTTGTTGTTGTACCTAATTTTCATCTTTGGAACATTCGAGTTTTTGATTCGTGCCTTTTTCATTAAATCATAAAAAGTACAAAAAAAAAAAATCAATATAAAAATTAACAAAATATTTAGCCATTAACTGGAAAAAATGATCTATTTAAACTAGTAAGTAGAAAAAAAAACAAAATTAAAACAAAAAACAAACCAAAATTGAAATTAAATTGTTAATGTTGTGTTAAAAAGAAAGTAAAAAAAACTACTCTCATTGAAACATTTTTTATTAGACACTTAATGTTTTTTTTTTCATTATTATTGTGTGCTATCTACCAAAAATTTTCTATGTAACTCTATTGTAAAACATAAAGATATAGCTCTTAAATATAGCTCTTGCAGCAAACCGAAAAGAAAAAAAAGGAAAAAGAAAAGAGAAAAAAATATATGCGTGCGTCCCTGATTGCCGCACATTTGGGGCGTTCTAGTGTTGAAGAAGAAAAAGTTTCTATATAGATCTAAGTTTGAGCTCAACAACCAAACTCGTTATATTTATACTGCCTTTTATTTGGGTTTTATAGGAGGAAGAAAAGCAAAAACGCGAAGAACTCGAAGAGATTTTGGCCGAAAATAATCGCAAAATCGAAGATGCCCAAAGAAAATTGGTAAGTACGACTAGCGTGTCTAAGCAGAGCAACAATTAAATATTGCAATTAATAAATTTCCCTGCTTTTACAGGCTGAGGAGCGCTTGGCCATAATTGAGGAGCAGCGGCTCATGGACGAGGAGCGTCAGCGCATGCGCAAGGAACAGGAAAAGCGCGTCAAGGAGGAGCAAAAGGTCATATTGGGCAAAAATAATTCAAGACCAAAATTATCGTTTTCCCTGAAACCGGGCGCGTTATGAGGCGGCAGCATCTGCAGTTGTCATAAAATGAATTTTTTAGCTTTTATTTTAGATTTTGTTAATAGCTGTTGCTCCATTTTGTTTACCTCAGTACGCCAATTTGCTTCTGCCCGAGACTATTTAACATTAACCCAATAGAATTGAATTTGGAGGTTAAACAGCCTAGAGCATTAGCCAAATGGCCCGAGGTTAGTCGTATGTTATACAAATTTCAATTATTTTTTGTTTAACAACATTTGGGAACCTATTCGAATCAATTGCGCACTATTTGCTTCAGACCTATTCAGACAACTCCGCGTCAAATGCTTTTGTGTAAAGTGCATTGTATTGTTAAATGCTGCAACCCATTTATATAAACCAAAAGCGCTAAAATGCAATCCTTTTTGATATTAATAATAATACCGACAAAAAACTTAAAGCAAAATGAAAAAGATAATACGAGAAGTAATTAAATATCATTGTTATTATTCTTTTGTGTCAGCTAGTGGAAGCAAACGCTGTTGTTGCTGTCGTGAACGAAGTAAAGGTTTTGAGGTTTGGAAGAAAGCATGGCATACTTCTAATTGGAAATATTTATCATAAAATGTTTGCAAGTTAAAACATGCGCTTATTTCGTTTCAAACTTTGCAAAATTCAGAGCGGCTGCTTGCTGCTAATTTATATTCGTCTGGTATTTAGCTAAGAGTGGAATTTTCCATTGAACTAAAATTATTTTTTAATACACAAAATATTTTTAAATTAAATTATAAATATATAGTACCACCTACAACGAACCCCCAACAGCCAAGAGTATCACCAACAACCACCAGTACAGCAAACAACCGCCAACAAACACAAGAAACTACCAAAAACCACCAAGAACTACAATTAACCACCAGTACTACAAAGAAACCATCACCAAAAACCACCAGTACCATCAAGAAGCACCACCAACAACAGTACTTTTTGTAAGAAGTGGTTGGTGGTTACTGCTGTTGTTGTAGGTGGTTGCTTATTAACTTAATTTCGACAAAAAAATATCCAAATCGTCTAGTCGTTCTCAAGTTTTTCGCTTACCAACGCATGCCTCTTCATTTCAGTCTGAAGGCCTTCGCTGCTCTGACTATATAGATCACAGGATTATAAATCTAAGTAACAATTATATAAATAATTCAATAAATAAATAATTGAAGCATTTCTTACAAAATCTATAATTCGCGTTTTTATTTCATATGAATGGGATGCTCGTGGAAATTACGGGCTCAGTTTTAATAAAAATTCAAAGTCTGATTGGATGATTCGTACTCACGGTCGTATATCTTCGATTAACTCTTCTCTGATCTGATCTGTAAAGAAACAATAAAGTCCGTCTTTGACTGCTTTGAAAAAAAGTCACAGCTTCGGTTTTATGGAATCAAAGATTATCAGTTTTATATACACAAATTGTTTTTGTGTTTTTTTATTCTTTTTTAGGTAGCTATTAGCATTATGGTTGTTCGATATATTTAGATTGATAACATTGAATAATTTAATGTTTTTTTTTTTAATAGGCTCTCAGCTTTAAAACTTTAGATGCACAATTTTTCCATTTGTTTTTGTTTTTTTTTCAATGTTATATGCAAATATATAGTATATATACTTTTGTTGCAGCAAAATTTGTAATTTATAAGCTGCTGCCATGAGCTTGAGCTCTCAAATATGGATTGAGTTCCATTTTAATCTTTTCAATACCATTTCTTTTGCAACGAATGCAAAACATCAGCCAACAATTTACAGTTCAAGTCTTTCGATTTGTAAGATTTTCTGCCTATTGCCTTTCTGTCTGTTAAATCGCGTTTCCCCAAAAGGTTTTTTGTTTTGTATTTTTTTTTTTGGGAGTGAAGAAAGCAGAAAGTTTTACACAGTATTACAATAATTGCACTTGAGAGTTGATTTTATTTAACATAAATTGGAATTAAAAGATGCAGACAAAAACACATAATTGCGCACACTAGTGTGTGTGTGTGGGTGTGTGTGGCACTTTTATTTTGAAAAAAAATATGCATAAAAAATAACAAATAAAAAATTTAATAATATGCTTTTAAAAGTATTTATATAACTCGTGACATAAATGAAATGAAACTAAACCGAAATCAAAAACGAAAACCACAATTCTCGCATTTTTCAACTAAAAGTGAAATATTCAGCTATGAGAGAAATAATAGTTAAATTTTTATAATTTTACGATAAATTTTAAAGTTATACAATTATATATATATACAGCATCCATTCATCATTATCGTCATTATAACAAACCCATCGCTTTTGCTTTAAATAGTATTTATTTTAAAAAATATCATTTAAGGTTTTAGTTGCTTCTTCCAAATTGATTTTTTGTTGCAAGCCCCCAAATCGAACAAAAAACGCAACATGCGCTTGCTTTTCTTAGTTGCTTTTGTTGTTGTTACTTTAGGTCCCAAACAATTTCGCTAATTATGTATACAAATACGAATACAATTTGTGTAAAAATTGCCTTTTCTGTTTTTTGATTAGCTCGCCATCCTGACTAGATTCAATTAGCATTATACTTGTAGTTTTGTTTTCACTTTTCACTTTTTGGTATATAAAATAGTTTGTTTTTGCATTTGTCTAAAATTTGCTTTCATATTGTAGCCATAGGATTTAATATATATATAAATATGTATTTATGTATGGATATAATAATAATTATGTATATTGTTTAAACATTGATAAGGTTAAAGAGTAGTTGAAATGGGTTTCGGTATTTAAATTACTTTTACATTAAATGTGTAGAAAAATTCGTTAAATTGATTTGCATATTGTTTTGCCCAAATAGCAAAATGCTTTGTTAATAACAATTAGCAGCATTTTCTTTTATCTGTTTATCCGTTTTTAAAACCCCTAACTTCACCTCAAATGGCTTCTCAAAATTGTTGGCTTCAGCCATATCGTTTTAATTGTTATAACAAATTTAAGTTTTCCTATGTTTTGTGCTCTAGAAATTGTTTTAAATTGTATGCGGCTGCAGTCTAAAGTTTAATTCGATTTTTACATACCTTTTTATCATATATATAAATATATATGAATATATAGATTGTGTGTGTGTGTTTCCTTTTCATCATATATGTATTTACTGCAAATGCTACAAAAATTGTAAGCTTAAGCCCCCAATAAAAAATGTGAACCACACGAAGTGCAAATTGGCAGTCACCATAAAACTGCGTTGCTGTAGCTAAGCGGCACAAAAAAACTATAGCCCAGTGACTGTTAAACTTCAGCACGTCATGTTCTCTTAACAGCGCTGCTACACAGTTGACAGCTAAGCTTAGCCTTTAACAGTTTAAGAAGCAGTTCGTGCAGTTAACAGCAGTGCACAGTTGGAGCTGCACTGTTGCTGCGCTGTGGCTTTGTTTCGTGTGGTTTTTCGTATCCTTCGGCGCTAGGTGAGCATTTTGACAAATAACAGCGCCAGTAGGACATTAACAAACAGCACTAACAGCACCAGCTGCTGACGTACAAACCAATCCTGCAAAATAAAGTGTCCGGCATTACCATTACTCGTTCAGAATTTTCGCAAAAGAAAGCTTTTCACTCACCTTGACTTGTGGACTAACCAAGTACAGAAGCGGATTTGCCCTCAAACGTTCGTTTACTTCGATCTGCCGACGCACCGCCTCGCGTCTGGCCGATCCCAATGCGGAGACCTCCTCACGACTCATCGCCTCGGTTGCGCGTGGCAGTTCCTGGAAATCTGGCATGGATTTCTTTCTCTGAAGCGAAACATTGATGGGTACTGTCTAAAAATAAATTAAAAAATAAAGTGCAGTTATTGCATCATATCGCATTTGATAATAAAAGAATGAAATTCGAAAGTATTACATATTTTATATTACTTTTAAAGTAAATTGATCATAGGTATAAATATTACGAGTAATTCAAAAAAACGATAGAGTTATTTGATTTAAAGCTTGTATTGCAGCTAGTCTCCACAATTCTTCATCGAGAAAATTTTTAAAACAAAATTTTATTATTTCTTTAAAATTTCATCGAGCTTGGAAAGGAGAATACGTATAATGTCTTGAGAACTAAAACACTTAAATACTATACAAATCTCTGTTACTGTTCAATAAAAACAAATTTTAATTCTTTTATATTAGTTTGTAAGCGGATGCCGTGGGTTTTACTATATATAGAAAATGACTCATCAGACTTTAAGTGATACCATTATTGTTATTGAAAAAATGCTGGGAATTAAACTCCGAGTGATTTTCGAAACTCCATCTAAACAACTCTCGTAGGCATAAAAAACACTTTCGAAAAAAATCTTGTTGGCTTTTTTAATTTTTTATTTATATTATGGCAAATGACTAATCAGATTATCAGCATTTATGTTATCGATCTTAAAACCAATCTGGAATGTAGAAAAACGTAAGCATTGTTCGCACCTCCACTGGCGGCTCTACGATCCAACTTTCGCTGGCACGACGCGCCAGCAGTGCTGGCGAGAACATCAAGTCCTCCTCATCCTCCTCGGGATACCAATCCATGTTAGTCTTGTGATATTGCTATTGGATGGGCGATTGGTTTGATGGAATCTTTTGGGTTTGTACTACAGTTTTAGAGGCACACTTGCATAACAAAGAAAAGAAAACTACTGCAGCAGGGAATTCCAACTTGTAAACGAGTTGTTCTTATTGTTGTTGTGCATGTTACAATTCAATAAAATAATGAGCATGAGTTGGTCGCGAACCAATGCGCCAAATGGCCAAAAATAGTAGAACGAACGCGCACGGCAATGAGCCAACAACCGAACAAGAAAAACCGAAAAAAACTGACAAAATGAATAAAAACAGAAAAATTGCGTCGCCAGCGTCGCACTTAACGAACAAAAATCGTTTTTGAATATTTTTCTTTTTGAGAAATTTATTTATTTATTTTTGTTAAACGGCGCACATATGTACAATACATACATATGTATGTATGTATAAATAAGTTAAGTATATTTTTATTGCGCCAAAAGCCAATGCCACACAAAAAATGTTCTTCTTGCTCGGCAATAATGAGGAATACTAAGTATATTCGAAATGACGAAAAAGAAATGCTCGCGCCCGCTGCGGCCAACGCTTCTGTGGCAACTAGAAGCGTTTTTTCAAATATTGTCGCTGCGAGGCGGCAATTGAGCAGAGTTGGGCGACAATTTCAAAGGCATGGGCTTTCCAATGGCGGCGGCAGCGACCACAACGGCCACTTGTGAAGTGTTCATTCAGAGCATCATTCAGCGGCGCACATGCATTCCATTGGGTGGTTGTGGCTCACTAACTTGTTGTTGTTGTGGTTGTTGTTGTTGTTGTTGGCAGTGCAATCGTTGCCGCTATTTTTAGAGCTCCGAGCACGCCAGGAGAATGGGCACATTGCTCCTCAGCTGCTCGGCAGTGAATGCTTTTCATAGCTTTCTTCAAATCTATACGAATGTGCGTGCCTGCCAGATCGAAATTCCCTTAATTGAGCGGATTAACTGTATTATGAGCGATTTTTTTTTTTGGGGTCTGAGATAAAGTGCATTAGCCGTTTAGCGTTTATGACAAGTTTGGGGTGCCTAGATGTTATGATTCAAAAGATCGTAGACTTCAATTCTCCTGAATCTTTCTGTTTCATTTCGTTTGTTAAGTATGAATTTTTAGGCATCGTAGTATACCCTTTCCCAGCTCTAGGTATACTATATTAGAGTATTGCTAATTCTGCTTTTTCCCGCCAGCTATAAAGCGAACTTCAACTTTAAGTTTCATTAATAATAATAAGCAGCTTTTCTTCTTTCAAATTAAAACATATAGCTTAAAAGGTAATCTTCTCAGATTGGTTAATATTTTATTCATTAACTGTCTAACGGCTGCGTTCTTTTTATATAACTTCTTGTCCATTTATATTTCAAGGAAATAACACAAAGACAAAATCAAAAGCCAATCTTAATACCAACGGCATTATATATGCAGTTATAGGAAAGTTATCTCTAAAAAATAAACTTCCATTTGTCGAATAATACATAGATTTGTGTTGGTACAGACGTAGACTTAGATTTATCTAAAAAAAACATTTGCCACGAGTGGTTTTATTACTGAAAAGGGCTGTTAAGGACAGAAGAGATCCCATTTCAAGAGCAGATTGGAAGCCCTTTTAACTACATATCGGTTTTAATTTTGTTAGGAATCGTAGGCTGTATATGTTCAATGAGATGAACATAAGATGTTGATTCAGCTGTTATTATTTGGAATATTTTAAATGATTTGAGGATTTAGATATGAAGTTTTTTGGAAAATAAAATTCAGGTTCAAAAAATTATCGTAAATTTACATATTTTCCAAAATGTAAATTTTTTTTCTTTCTTTCTTGCAAGTTATTGCAAACATTTTGAATTGCTTGCTTGTCAGCATTTGACAAATTTGTTTGTTTATTTATTATACATATGTTATATATGTTATTTTATCAGTTATTGTCTTCTTTTTTCTGTAACTGTCTTGGTACAAAAATAGAATTTCGAAGTCCAAAAAAATGCTGGATTTCCCCTCACGAAATACATTTGTTCTTAATTTTATGTTTTAATATAATGCTTCTGCCAAATCAAAAGATGTTCAAAGTAGAACTTACCTTCATTTTCTTGCCACCGCTACCGCCAGCCTTGCCCATGGCCACGCCCACCGGCGTCGCCGGCTTGGCAGGCAAGTACAAACTCTCGGTGCGTTTTGGTTGCGAGGGCGAGGGAATGATATCCTGACCGAGCGTACGCTGACGCAGCAGCACATCCTCAAACGGTTGATTGGGTGCTGAATATAAGGGTTCCACTTTGCTTTGGCTGGGCGCTCGTCCGCCCGCTCCCAAGCTGGGCGTGCCGGCGCGCGATAAACGTCCGCCGGCGCCCGAGGGCAGAGTTCCATTACCGGTGAGCGTTGAAGTGGCTGTGCTTGTGGGATTTGTGCCGCCACCCGGAGCCGGCGTGGAGCCACGAAATACTGAGCCCGCACGCGGACGTCCGTCGGGTGTGGTGTTGGTAGCACCACCGGCTTGGGTTGGATCGTTGGCTAGGCCGGACCGATCTAGAGAGGTCTGTCGCGAGCCGCCAAAGGCGCCACTCATGCGGCTGGCGGCGCGGGCATAGCGATCGATGGAGGAGTCCCGACTCGGGGGCCGCTTGTAGTGATCGAAGTGATCAATGGAGGATTGCTGTCCCGTTTGCCCCAGCATCGGTGGTCGTTGCTGGGAACGCTGTTGCTGGTTGAGGGCGGCCATGGTGGCAGCCTGGGCACTGGCTTGGGCTGCATCGGCGACTTGTTGCGAGGGACGACGCATCGACGCATTGTGGCTGGGCGAGACGTGCAGTGAGGATTGCTGTTGCTGATTGAGTTGCTGTTGCATTTGATGTTGCTGCTGCAACTGTTGATGTTGATATTGCTGTTGCAACTGTTGCTGCTGCTGCAACTGGTGGTGTTGTTGCTGCAACTGCTGTTGCTGCTGCATCTGTTGTTGCTGCTGGTAGAGTCTTTGTTGTTGTTGCTGTTGCTGCTGCTGCAGCTGCTGCTGTTGCGGCGACATATTGTTGGCATTTTGATACATTGAGGCATTTGTGGGCGTTAGATTGGAAGTGCCGGCAAATTGTTGTTGCTGCTGCAGCTGCTGCTGCTGTTGAGTGGAAACACTGGTGCCAGGCGGCTGCTGTTGCTGGAATTGATATGCAGGATTCGTTTGTGGATTGCTCTGTTGTTGCTGCTGTTGGAATTGCTGCTGCTGATGCTGCTGTTGGTGATACATTTGATTAATCGCGCTAATGACCTGCGCATGACTCGGCTGGGTATGGCTGACGAGTGCGGAGAGGTCTGTCTGTGGCGACACCGGCAGCTGTTGCGAGTACATCGATGAAGGCACTGGACAGTCGGCCTCCTGCTTTTGCTGCGACATACGACGTTGCTGCTGCATGTTCATGTATTGCTGCTGTCGCTGCGCCTGCGTGGCATACGCTGGATCCGAGGCACTGCCGCTGCTGGCCGGCGAAAATTGCTGGGACGCTGGCAGGCTTTTGCCTCCGCCTGTTACATCAGCGCTGGAGCTAACGCCTCGAAAGCGCTCCCGGAAGCGCAGCTTCTCGAAACGCTCCAGCACCGATGGCTTAAAATCTGGCGCGAACTCGCGTGCCATTCGCACGGCATTCTCGCAATCGATACGCGCCTGCTCGGCCGCCACATCGGCGTTCTGGGCCTTCGCCGCTGCTGTCGCCATACGTGAGATGGCCATGTCGGAGCGTTGCATCGCCATTTTGAGCGCACGCTGCGCGGAATTCACGGCGGCCGTGATGCGATCGCGAAATTTACGCGAACGCGCAAGGAACAAATGCTTCTTCTTCTGGCTGGTGATCAATATATTGTTCTTGTATTTGCCCTCCTCGACGGTTCCATCCCGAAATGTGGTCACGCCATAGCCATGCTTACGATTGTTATACCACTCGCCCTCATATCTATGAAAAATTGAAAGAGAATGGATTGAGAGCTGGTCAGTAAAATCATTATAGATTGAGTTGGGGGTTGAGGGGCCGACGAACTTGAAAAGCCAAACATATTAGTGGAAGTATAATTTTGAAGAGTCCTATATTTGTTATAAAATCCTAAGCCTCGGGGAGTTAGTCCTTTAAACGATGGTTTGTGCATAAATGGTGTGCAGGGTTCTAAAAGGCTTAGGGATATTCTGTTAAGAAGCATCTTCAAGGTTGAACTGATAAATATTTCTGTAATAGGTTTATAACAGGCTTAGGTAAGATATTATTACATAAAGCCCTAATGGGGCACAGAAGTTTAAAAAAGTTAGATAGTTAAATAGTTAGCAGCAGAAGCTTGCAGCTATTTTAGAAATCGGAATGCTAGGGGGTTTCGGAGACCGTCTAAGTCGACTCTATTAACTCCCTGTCGTTACTTACTTTAAGCCATCGCTGCGCTCAGCTACGCCATGTCCACAACGCTTGTCCTTCTTCCATTCGCCCATATAGGTCTCCACTACCGTAGGATCCAGCTGCTCATCCTCCATGGTAAAGCTGGCATTGGACTCCGTATGCGCGGATCTAAAGGTCAAAGTGAAAGTATTAGTCTTGCCTGCTACATATATTTGGAATATAGGTGTGAGACTCACTTGGTCGTTAAATTGGACTGCTCGGAACCGGTGCTAATCCATGAGGCGGAGGACATGGTTGAACGTATGCTGCCCGAGGCAATGGTGCCGCGTTTCTCCAGATCCCCCGTGCTGCGTTGTTTGCGCATTTTCAGGCCCTGTCAAAACACGTGGATGGATAATTTGCATCAATTATATATGCAGATGTTCCCACTCACCATAAGGAACCCCTTCTTGGACTTTTCCGTCAGGCTGTTGCGTCGCACCGGCAACTTGTCGGACTTGGCCGTGAGCACAAAGCCACCGCGTATCTCCTCCGTCTTCTCGTTCGCTTTGGCCGCATTGCCATTCTCTCCGCCAGGCAGTGAACTTAACGAGGCATGCAAGTTCTTGCGTCGATGATGCGAGGCGAGGCCAAAAGGCGCCGATGTGCGTATGCCGTAGCCATGACGTTTGCCCTCCTGCCATTGACCTTGGTACTTGCCTGCAATAGACATATGGCTCATAAGTCAGCTCAGGTCTTCGGGGTCAGTGCGGGTTCATTTACATGATGAACACTGCAGTCGGGCGATTAAAATGCAAATGATAAATGAAGCCGCAGTCTAGGACACCAAAGGCACAGGTAAGCTAAAGGTGGGCGGCCCCTTGAACATTATTCCACAATTTTTGAACCCTCCCAACAACTGTTGGCTTCCATTAATGACTACACGTGTCCGCTTAATGCACAGTCCAATGCCATTCCGGCTAATTGCGCGCCATTTTTTCTCGTTATGTGGACAGCTAGCTTTAAGGCAGTCGTCTTATGGCAAAGTACAGAAACTAAAGGTGGTTGGTTGATTAGGGTTTAGTATCCCTTTAGGTGAGTACGAAAAGTTGCTCAAATTAATTCCAACCAACTACTAAAAGAATTATAATAATAATAACAGACTCGAACTGTATACAGTTAAGTGAACTCAAAAGATTGTTGAATAACATTTCAACAACGTACCTAAGGGGGAACTTGCTTTTAAAACAGTATTATTTACCAACGAGGATTATACCAATATCCTTCTTTTTTGATTATCTATGCATATTCACCATCATTTAAACATTTTAATTTATTTTCGTTCTCTTACCACATAATGATTAACTTTTTAGTTATGCTTTACACCTCTTCAAATAATAATTATTTTTAGGAAAAAATTAAACTCATAAGCAATTTTTTTTGTTGATAAAAAATAAATCTCAAATTGCAATTGTCCCTGCCTTTTTCATAGGAAATATGGACATAATGTATATATATATATATGTATCTCCTTAAACAAGGGCCCAGACAAACCTCTAAAGTACAGTTTTGAGATAAAAAAAAACATTCTTTATATCTCCTTAAACAAGGGCCCTAACAAACCTCTAAAGTACAGTTTTGAGCTAAAAAATAAATATATTCTGGCGAAATTACAACTTCAGTTTTATATTTGATCACAAAATTAAACCTAAGGAACAGTAAAGTTTTTATTATTTTTTGTGTTGCGCTAAATAATATTTATAGTTTGAGTTGTAAATTATAAAGCAATTTTAATCATTACATTGTAAGAGAATGAACAAAATTAAAAAGAAAATCATTATTTTGTATTATATGTTAATTATTGTTATTTACTGTTCTCGATTTTCTTATTGATTTTCTGTTTCATTCCTATTAGTTACAATTTAATACAATTCCAAACGATACCTAAAACAAAAGATTAAGATTTCACTTTCCTGGTTTTCGAACCAAATTTGTGGACTCTACGTTTTGTACTTCCCGAGTTCCTTGAGTTCATACAGACAGATGGATGGACAAACGATGCTTTTGGCCTTGCTGATCAAGAATAGGCATAATTTGCTTTCTTCTGATTGTTTTAAAAACTGACTCACTTCCTAATATTTACAAGCACTCGGGAAGAGATTGTATATCTATATTTAATCTACATATCTATACGGATATTGTGTTTGTATGTGGATAAATTCCTAAACTACCTCACTACAGTTTCCACTGTTTTCAAAAAAGAATTTAAATGCAATTATTATGTATTTTACGAACAGTTTTGCAACAATGTATGGCGCCATCTATCGCATATACTGGCACATTATTGAGAATATATGTTTACATATATACTTGCTATAAGTATTATGCATATTCTGGCTGCATTTCGAGCTCCCACAACCAAAAGGAAGGCAATGGCCATCCATATGTTTCTTCTAGCTGCCTAACCGAATTTCCCCAGAAAAAAACTCACTCATGCTGCAAAAATGTACAAAAAAGAAAGAGTCTAAAATATCATTGAACCGCAATGAGAAATAAAATTATGACGTCAGGTTTTTGGGACTGTGTTTGCGTCCGTGTGTGTGTGTGCGGCCCTACCGGCATCGAAAAATGACTGCACACGCATACCAAAAGGAAAATTCATTTTCATAGTCGCTGCTGTTGCTGCCTGTTTTGAAAACGAGCCAAAAAGCAAATAGAAAACCATAACGGACAGGCAGCAGGCAGGCAGGCAGCAAGTGAAATGATCTCATGCCCCCGCACATTACGTATACGCAGTGGTGTCAAACTTACCGCCATCGGCGTAGGTCTCACAGCCGGAACCATCCTGATAGCCCTCGTTCCAGGTGCCCTCGTACTTGGCCGTCGACACGGTGCTCTCTCGCACTCCATACCGACCCTTGTGGCCATCCTTGGACCACTCGCCACGATAGATTTGCCGACCGATTTGCTCAACGCCCAGCCCATGACGGCGTCCGTTCTGCCATTGACCCTCGTAGTGGGAGCCACTGCAATCAAAGTAGGAGCATTATGTTCAATCTGGCGTGAAAACAACATCTGAGGGCTGACATTTGAAAACTGATTATATCATTAGGCCTACCATCATTACTACTCCTGATTGAGAATATTTGTTTGGAAATTTTCAAAATAAAATTGTAAACACAATTTAAATTTAAAAATCAATGTTAGTATACTATAATGCTTGATTTTTGATGAATAAAATTTTGGACAATTTTTTAATTCAGTTACTGAAATGGCGTTTTCTTTTTAAGTCGCCTTCTCATATTCATAGGCTGATGAAGGCATGTATTTATTGAAGCCTATTAAGAAAAAAGTAGCCTCTAAAATAAGTAGATTTATAAATATATACTATAATCGCACGATTTGATTATCAAGACATTTTCATTCTAGATATCTACGTGGCGTCTTGTATTTGGAAGAGTTAGCTTATTAATAATTTAGATTGGAGAGGGTCCAAGAACGCTTTAAAAAAATTCGATGGAAGTGTCTATTTTTCCGATAAATAAAACTTTTCATGTATTTAGACAGCTACATTTTTCAACTTTTCATCTCTATATAGTATTCGATTTATAATAAAATGTGGCGAGGGCACATTTCACAAGACAACTCTATCTCGCCGTAGTTGAAGAGTTTTCTGAATAATTGTTTTTGGATTGGGAATAAATTGCTTAATTATAGTAACTGATGCTATCTACAACTAGTTTCAATCACATTTATAAAACGCTCTAAGGATCCGTTTAACCTATGCTTAGTCAGGACTAGGCAGGAGTTTGAGAAATTTTTGAAAGCATATTTCGGTAGTACAAGAAACATCTTTCACTTAATAACATACGTCATCATTCGCAATATAATAGACACCCTAGAATTGGTCGATTAATAGATGTGGGTTGGTATGTATTATCTTCACACTATTAGTAGCTAATAGACAACATACGTCATCATTCGCAATATAATAGACACCCTAGGATTAGTCGATTAATAGATGTGGGTTGGTATGTATTATCTTCACACTATTAGTAGCTAACATAAAGAATTCTATATACTTTCCTTTCTAAAAAGTATACTGATTGGAGGCATTATAATAACATTAATAAAATGTCTTTTTTTTGAGTTTACCTTTTTCTGAGTTTAACTTTGATTTCATTTAACCTTTTATTCTATTATATGTCGTTCTTTTCAAACAATTTTCTTCAAGCTGTTATAAGGAGTCCTTTTCTCAGTACATTTTTACTGCCTTCTTACTCTGAATACTAATTTATACTCTATACATATATTTTATTCCATTTAATATATGGGTCCAATTAGCATTAAACAATTTTCTGTGTGTTATTTTTTCAAGTTAATTCTTTTTTCCGTGGAATTTTGTTGACACAAGAGTATCTTTTTTACTCACCTGGGCCATATATAGGAGCCGGACACTTCAAAGCCATAGTTCCAGGCACCCGCGTAGGCCCCCTGATGCTTGGGGCCTGTGCAGACGCCATGTCCGTGGGCTTTTCCCTCATCCCAGCCGCCGCAGTAGGTGCCGCCGTCCTCGAAATCGAAGCGGCCGCCACTCATGGGGGCGCGTTTAATGGCACCTCCTTGGGCGTTGGCGTAAGCACCGGCGGCCATGTCGCCGCCATTTTGTTGCTGTTGCTGTAGTTGTTGGGCCTGCAGCTGGTGTTGTTGTTGCTGTGGTGTTAGTTGGTCAGCCTGTTGCATGCTCAATGGTTTCTTTGCTGTTGTTGTTAATGCTTGCTACTTAAGTTTGTTGCTGCTGTTGTTGTTGGTTTGAGCTTTTTATGCTTTCGTGTGCTGCGCATTGAATTTCTTCTTATTATTTGTTGCAATTGTAGTGGTAGTTGTTTTTGTGGTTGTTGTTGCCTCAGCATTTGCATTTAGTTACTAAATCTTTGATTTCTCTCTCTCTCTCTCTCTCGCTCTTTACTTATCTTTCTCACAGCTTCTAAACTTTTCCGTTTCGTTTCGCTAAGTTTCGTTATTAGTCCTCTAAAAGTTTTCTCTAAGTTTTGTTAGGCGTGGCTTTTGAACTTAAATGTAAAATTAATAGTTTTTTTTTTTTAAATAAAATTGTGTTTTCACTGAAACGCGAAAGTTGCAATTTTTCTAAATGGGTTTTCTTTTGATTCTGTTAATGTGTTATTCGTTTAGCATTGACAATGGCCCGTCTTGACTCAATCTGCCGCCTTCTCTGGCAGTTTGGCACTCAAGTTCAAGATCAAGTGTTTGCTGATGTCAGAAAGTTGCTGCGCTTTATGCTAATGTCGTATGCCATCATTGGATCAGTAATGAATGTCTGTATGTGTTTGTATATGGTGTATAGCTGGAAAGAGAAACACAATATTTTGAATTAAAGAAAGTCTTAACAACAGTTTACAAAGTGATTGCAATTTTCAAAGTAAGCCACAACTTTATTTTAAAATATAGGTCAGATATACATTATTTAACAGACATTTAAAGTAAAAGTAGCAGTTTTTTTTGTCACAGGAAATAATATTTCAGTAAAGAATTTTAAGTAGTAGACTAGTGAAAATCTACAAATTTGTGCGAAATTGTGCAAATTGTTTGCTTGTATACTAAATTAATTGTTTGTATACTAAATTAATTCTTGAATAGATGTACTTAATTACTAAGATAACAAGCAACACAAACACCTGTACTGTACTGGATTCAAAGTAGCACTAAAACTAATTAGTTAGTTAGTGCCAACAGTATCGGAACCAGCAGTAGTAATAAAAATGGTTATTTAAATTAGTTAATTGGACCAGATCCAGTGCTGCAATTAGTCATAGAACTAGCAGCATCAGAAATACCAATGATTCAAAACCCCTATTCGAAATAAAAACATAAAAAGCTGCTTAATGTAGCTTTTTCGGCATCAAGTCCAACTTAGGTTAAGGTTAAGGTCATGTTTGTTTTTCTCAAAAATAAAGCTATTTATTCACTTTATATTAAACCTGTTGTTGTTTAATATTTAATCACAATCTAATGCTTTCTGCATTATTTCCAATCAATAAAATGTACCATTTTTTTCAAAATAAATTCGTTAAACATTTTCTAATAATATACGCTTGGACAGAGAAAATATTGATTGCCTTTTGAAAATGTTCTTTGAAGATGATTTTTAGCAGCCAGTTAATGGGTTTTATTTACAAACAATTCTTAATATTTAATTTTCTCGTATATGCCCAAATCTGTTATGCATTTTCTGATTGTTTGCAAATAAATTCCCACTGTCTGAGTTGATTTGTTTTTCGATTTAAAAAAAAACAACAAAAAACTTCAAAACGTCTACTTATAAAATTTGTATAAACAAATGTTTACATTAAAATAATAAACATAAAGAATGAACTCATCGCTATGGTTTTTCTAAATTTTATCATAATGTTCATGCCGAGATTTTATTGGCTTTTCAGGATTACCAATTTTAAGTGAAGCTAAGATGCTTCTGCATCTGGTTCCAAGGCCAGTTTAATTATATATATATTTTTTTCACATGTTTTGTCTCTCTTGCCCCGCTACTGTCCATAATTTCTGCGCTACTACATAGACTAATCTTGCATACAGTCTTAATTTGAAATATCTACATCTATTTAACATTAAATACTAATTTCAAAAACTTGTACGCAAAATATGAAGTAAGTTTCAATATTATTTTATGAAACTTGTAGGCAATATTTCTGTAAATACGGAATTACCAGCCAATATTTACGGAAGTCATTTACAAATTTAAAGCTTAAATCGCAATTGTTTTCCCTGCCAAATCTTTGATCAAAACAATGCATAAGCAGTGGAATCACATCAATATTTGACTCATATATATTACTTATGTGTATATTCTGGTATGTTATCGTAAACATTCCTCCATAGCATTTAAATCGCACATTGCCAATGATTCACGATGCGAATTCGATTGGTTTCTATCTGTCGATTTGAAAGTGCGAGTATTTTGATTGTTGGCTGCAATGCCATGCATTGAAATGACTTTATGAGCCACAAGCGTAAAAAATATTTCACGATTTAGTTCTAGATCAAGCAAGTTATTGTATCGTTCAAATTAATGGGCTGCATCAGCAAATAGTACCTTGAAGGCAGTAGCGAGGAAGCTGAAGGGCGTCTCAAAACGTAAACATGAGTCAAATGGCCGAAATGTAAATCCCTTTTGATGACGACGATTTGATGTTATTTTTGATGCTATTATTTCCGATGCTGAAGCTGATTGTGATTCGGATTCTGATTTTGATTATGATGATGATGATATGCATGAAAAATGTATTCTGTTTAATTGTAAAATTATGTTGGCTAGCTGGCTGGCTAGCTGCTATTATTGTTGCTTTAATTGCGAGTACAAAGGCGATTTTCATTTCAATTCGGCCCCGCCACATGCGTCACCAAAGCTAGCCACTGCGAGCAGAGCACCGGGCACAATTTCTATGCGAAATTTATACGTAGATGCACAAATATACAAAATACATGTATATTTATTATATACACACATATCTGTGTATATAGTTTGTAGTCTTTGGGCCAAAATTCTCAATGGCGCGCCAGTTGAGTGGGTGGCCAACATCGAAGCATTGAAGAAGACGCCGCAGGTTGCCTTTATTTTTTTTCCTAAAGTTTTTCTCAGCTGTTTGCCACGTAGAGTCCCCGGATCTCTTGATGTTCTTGTTGTTGTTTTTGTTTCGGTTTTATATGAATTCGCGATAGTAGTAATAAAATATTAGAAAAACTGCATAGCAGAAAAGGAACATCGCGCTAACAACGTGAAAAGTTTTCAAATTCATTTGCATTTTTAAGCTTATTTCTTCGTAAGCTGCTGTATTTTATCCTTTGCTGGGTTTCTTGTGTGGTTTATTTTGTTTTTTATTTCTTATTATATATATTGTTGAAGCAATTATTTAACAATTTTCGTTTGCTTTTCAATGTTTGTTTTCTAGTATCTTAGTTTGCGGCCATGTGTTTTAGAGTTATTTTGGGGTCGCTGCCTAATATTTTATGCTTATTTTCGGCTGGAGTCGAATAAGTATTGAAAAATGCTTTTTATTGTTTTATTTCGACTGTCCGATAACAGTCTGTGTTAAAATATTTCCTTATAACAAATGAAATAATTAAAAGTTTTCATGTTATGTTAATAACCAATGGGAATGTAAGTAATGCCTTTAATATTTCCCACAGAAAGATATTGAAAGATATTACAGAAATCGAAACGAAGCTTTTCTTCTTTTTTTTTACAGAAGACTGAAGCTAGTTAGAGACATTCTTGCAGGAAGTAGGGGCTTGTGAAAGAATTTTAGAGGACTAAAGGTGCTAAGAGACATTCTAAATATTTACGTATATAAGCTGAGATTATTGTTTTAAAATGATTCCAAAAAATGTTAAATAGGTTTGACTTATCTACTATCAATTTATTGCTTTAATCAAAAAAAGTTAGTTTATTCTTAAGCACAGAAAGAGCTTCAGAATATAATTTAAATATACATTTACTTGTAACAAACATAGTGTCACATTCTACTCTTACTTCCATTTAAATACTTTCAGCTTTCCCTAACAGCCATGCAATTTATCTGAATATTTCTGTTCGCCCTCTGAGTTTTATTTGCCTGCAATGCGTGGATTTTCAAACGCAACTCAACCAATCTTCATTTCACGCATATCTTTCCCATTTTTTTTTTGCATATTCTGTTTTGTGGCCCACAGCACTTTGTAAATATTTTGTACTGAAATTTTTTTAAAGATTGCAGCGTACTGTGTGTTTAATAAACAATTTGACTTACAAAAGTCCAACAACCAGAAACAACAACAAAAATGCCTACAAACAGCAACAGGAAGTGTGCGCTTCACGGGCGTCGCATTGCGTATACGCCATGTGGTGCGTGTGTTTATTAAACTATGCGGCGAATAAGTCAGAGTTTCAGCGGAAATTGTTTAATGGGAAATTCTTTAGCCAACGGTACATAATTTCTTAAATGTTTTTAGTGTTTTCTCTGGCTGAATTGATGGTGACTGGAAAGGGAAGGAAACAAAGTCGAATTGTGGTAGACTAATTTATGTGGAAACAAGAAAGGAATGCTAAAGTCGAGCAGGCTCAACTCTTAAATACCCTGTACCACCCCACAAAAAAGTAATTAAATTAATTAATTAATTTAATTAAATTAATTAACTAAATTAATTTAATTAATTAACTAAATATTAACTAATTAAATATAAAATATTCCATGCATGCATACATACATTTACAATTACATCAGAATCGTGTCTATGCGTGTTTGTGTACTTGTACATATGTATGTATGTGTGCATTGAGCCTGGTTATATGGCTATAACTTTCTTTCCGATCATTCTATCATAATGAGACTTGGTATACGGTTATATAATTACTAACCTAATGTGACTACCAAATTTTACTTCAAAATTCCAAGAATTACGGGAGTTATAGAAAATCGTTAATAGGGGGGGAGTGGGGGGGTGGATCAGAAAAAATGAACAAACTCGCCCTTTCTCGGTCTCAGGAGAATCTGTATACCAAGTTTGGTTATTCTAGGTCTTATACTTTCGGAGATCCTTGCGTTCATACAGACAGACAGACGGACAGACAGACGGACAGACGGACATGGCTATATCGACTCGGCTTGTCATGCTGATCAAGAATATATATACTTTGTGGGGTCTACCAAGCCTCCTTCTGTGTGTTCCATGTGCACTCGCACTAAACTAATATACCCTTGTACCCTTTGGGTACAGGGTATAAAAACGTCAAGCCCTGAATTTTAGAATACATGAGGTAGTGATTATTATAGTCAGTGGAGGATCTAAGATAGATTTATAGCAGAGTAGAATTTTCATTAGAGATATTAAGCTTTTTTTTCGCTGTAAAGCTTAATATTTAAGCCATTATTAGAAGTGAACTGTTTAATTTTTAATTAATTTTAATTTGAAGGAAAGGGCCAGTTTCCTTTTTTTTTAGAGCTTGAGCATTAACTAAATACTTGCAATAGATTAATTATTAATGGTTTCTTATACTATATGTATTGTTTTGAAGAAGAGAACTTATATATTCAAAAATCAATGTCTGGCTTGTAATTAAGAATTAAATAAAAAATTTTTTTCTTTTACAATTAAATATTTGTTATCTTTTATAATTTCAAGTTATTATTATTAATATTTGCTAATTATTTATGTTTTTTAATAAAGTAGTGTAGGAAAATTTTAATGTATGGAAACTTTAATTTTGAAGATTTCTGGTAAAAGATTTCCAGCAAAGTTTACTTTCTTGTGAAAAGTTTTTGGTTAACCCATAAGAGCTTTTCATATATTATAGTT